TAGAACACAACAAACAAACTAAAATTAAGGGACATTAAAACTAAAGCTTGAAACTCTAGTTAAATCATCTTCGTAATTTTCCTACAATCCTGGAGGGACAAGTCTATATACTTGTTCCTTAACCTTCAATCTTCTTCTTGTTCTAGCAAGCCAGTGAGCGCACCTGTTGCAAGAAAATGTGGGGGGCTTACTTCTTCCTCCCTTTAAATGGAGAACTGTGAATTTTGAGGAAAAAGGAGGAGAGGGTCGATGCGAAGGTGAGAGAAAATGAGAGTGAGGGAGAGAGGAGAGAGAGTGAAGGATATTTCAAAATATCCTTATGGTGAAAATGTTATTTTTCCCTTAGCTCTTCCTTTCTTTTACCATTCAACCCTTAGCCATTTAATTAGGACTTTTAATTAGTTAGGCTCATGAAGGGTGTGCTACACACTTACTTTATTTTGGGTCTCACTCATTTTGCATAATTACAATTTTACCTCATCACTTTTATTAATTGCACTTTTACCCCAAAAAGTGTCTAAACTTAAAAGATGAGATTTTTCATCTAATAAACCCTCTAATTACACATCAATCTCTAATTAATGTAATTTAATTATTCTGATTACTATATCTAGCTTTTAAGCAATAACCATGCACAATATCACTCAAATGATATTGAATATTTAAGTTTTTAAAACCTACGATCATGATGCTATTATATGGAAATAATTTTAATATTTTTGAATTTTTAAAAAATTGAATTAAATATAATTTGACTTAATAAATTTAATCTAAATTTTAAAAATAATAACAATTGTATCATAATCTTAATTATTATGTAGATACTATTCAATATTTCGGAGAATAAAAATGGGAGAAACAATGAGTTTTGAAACAAATGATCAAGATGGTGCCCCGACATCCTTTTGATAAATAATTTTTGTAACATTAAATTTTTTGGTAAGAATGTTCATTTTTATTTTATTTTTTATTTATTTATTTATATAGTAGTCAAGGAGGGCCTAGCCTAGAACACAACAAACAAACTAAAATTAAGGGACATTAAAACTAAAGCTTGAAACTCTAGTTAAATCATCTTCGTAATTTTCCTACAATCCTGGAGGGACAAGTCTATATACTTGTTCCTTAACCTTCAATCTTCTTCTTGTTCCAGCAAGCCAGTGAGCGCACCTGTTGCATTCGCGTGAGACAAATCGAAAATTGACTTCCCAATCTTTGCGAAGCCAGGCTAGAATCTTAACAACCAATCATATTTTTCTAGCAATCTCACCATTAGAGGTGAGCATGGATAATTGTCTATTAAATTTAAAATGTTAACGGCAACAAATGATATACACGAACTTAAAAAAGATTGTGCACAAAAAACTATATTTAAAAAATTTTATATATAAATATTAAATTAAAAATGAGTGTAGCAAATAATAATAAAAGTATATTTAAACCATATGAAATAAATAAATAAAGTATAATGGTTTTAGAATAATTTTTCAAAGAAAAGAATCATCTTACTGGAAAAAAATTCAAGAGAGCAATTACGTAGGCACGACCAAGTAAGCAGAGGTGGCAAAGTGAGCGCTTGTCTCACCTCACTTTTGAAAGTGGGCTAAAAATTATTGTGTAGTATTAATTACAAATATTGTGGCACAGACTACCTGATAAAAAGTGAAAATTATTGTGTAGTATTAATTACAAATATTTAGTTACATCCGATAAGGTTGTGTTACATGTTTTGGTTTTTTCTATGTAGGGTTGTGGGGCAAAAAAATTAAAACATTACTATTTTAATAAATAATTACTAATAAGTTGCTATTTTGAATCTATATACGAATCTATTGCACTCATTCATGCCCAAATTAGGCATGACTATTCACGCCTAAGTTAGGCGTGACTCCCAAGGCATTCACGTCTAAATTAGGTGTGACTCGTCTGGTGTTGACACATGGCACAAAGTGATAATTCTTTTGACCGTAAAACTTGCCATAACTTTTGACTCGGGTATCCGAATGAGGTAATTCTTTTTTTGATTTCACATAACTTTTCGATATCTACGCAATGACATCTTATTTGATATATTTTATCTCTCACAAACACAATTCAAATTTGCAACAATGATACTATAAAGATGGCACCAAAGTGGATTAACTGATCTATAAATAAGGATACTTAATGTCATATTAAAATATATACTTCTACCAAGTGTTTGAAAAAAAAATAGTGTACAAGGTTATTTATTTAAGGGTTTGGTGTTTGTCATTTTAAATGACATAAGTTATGTCATTTTAGGAGAGAGATAGACACAGAAAAACAGAAATCATGGAAGAGAGAAAGTGAGTGGTTTTTTTAATTTAAAATTCAAATTTTCTGTGTCTGTATCTCTCTTAAAATGACATAACTTTCTGTCATTTGAAATGACAAACACTTTTCTCTTTATTTAATTATAAAAATATATACAAATTTATATAATATTCTACTAAGTGTTTAGAATATTTATTTAATTATTTTCTTTATTAATACAGATTTTTCAAATTAATTTTTGAGTTTAAATCACAAATTAAATCTTTATTTTTTTTTTCTTATTAATAATAATTTTTTAAATTTTTTTGGTAATACACTATATAATACAATTATTGCAATTTTGAATTGTGTTTGTGAGAGATAAAATATATCAAATGAGATGGCATTGCGTAGATCTTGAAAAGTTATGTGGAATCAAAAAAAGAATTACCTCATTCGAATACCCGAGTCAAAAGTTTTGGCTTTCTAAAGTTTTACGGTTAGTAAGTTTACTTTTTTTGTCACGTGTCAACACCAGATGATTCACGCCTAAAAATTAGGCGTAAATGCATTGGGTGTCACGTCTAATTTGGGCATGAATAGTCATGCTTAATTTGAACGTGAATGAGTGCAATAAATTCATAGATAATTTCAAAATAACTATGTATTCATAATTATTTATTAAAATAGTAATATTTTAATTTTTTTGAGTTTTGGCCGTCACCATCGCCAACGATAGAATGTTGTCTTATTTGTATACTTTCTTCTATTCATAGTTGATCCTGCAAGAACCTTCCATGCACTTCCCAATGGAATGCCCAACTCTACAAACCCATTTTTATACTCTCAAGTTGAGTAACAAAGATCAAAATTTTAATTAATCCGTCTTCCAAAATAATTATCATTTAAGGTTTCAAATAAGACTAAAAAAATGTCATTAAATTCTTTTGATTTTTAAAAAATATAATTTCATTTAACTAACTAAATTATCGTCTTATACAATCAATGTTTAGATGAGATACCAAAAAATAAGGATAAAATTAAAAAAAAATAATGAATGCCTTTTAAATTTTCTAAAGTGACAAATAACTTAAAAAAAAAACCAAAGATCGGTTTTTTTCTTTTATTTCTCAAGAATATTTAACTTTCCTATTTTTAAAGTATTTGCACATGAAATGGAGAAAACAAAATAGAAAATTGTCCCGAAACTGAAAAGGAAAAAAATAGAAAATTCAATAGTAAATTAAGAGTTTAAAGTTATACAACAGCAGGCGATTTAAAAATTTCAAAATGCCACGTGTAAAAATAAAATAAAAATTATTAATAGGTAAATAATGGAAACAACTTTTGTTCACTCCTCACTTTGGTTTCATTCATGTTACCAAAAAAATTAAATAATAATAAGTGGAAGAAGAAAAAAATAGAAAAACAAATGCAACAGAAGAACGACTAAACTAATTAAGCAAGAACTCAAAAAATTAAGGCCCACATTTTATTAGATGGGTTGGAGTGTGCTTTCAATTTTGGGTCCAATAATTTTAGGTATTTTCCAAACCACTAACCTTTTAAATCCCGCAAAATTGATGGGAAATTTGTAACAAACTATAACAACCACCCCATCCTCATTTATTTGCCACATTTATTTGCTAATATTACAACTGTATATATAGTGTGTGTTTCCAATTCTTGTTTTTGTATTTTACTTTGAATTTCTGATTTACTTGCTAATATTTCTGATCTATCATCATGCATGACAGCACTTTTCACAATTGCTAATGTTTGTGAAAAGAAATAGCAAATTTTCCCTTATTTTGTGGTCTAATGACGAATTATTTTCTTATTTTGAAGTGCCTGATCGTCGAGAAGAGATCACCTTGAGGATTTGATTACTATTTTTGCTGGTTGATGTGCCTTGTTTGCTTACTTTTGGCAGGTTTGTCTTTGTTTGCTTCCATTTATGTTATTCTGTGATTTGATGTTATTATTTGTGGTTGTGACAATTAGCATTGTACTGCTATTTTTGGATTTGATATTAATACTGTATTCATGGATAATTTGAGGCAGGAGCCTATTAGATTTGTGTTATGGGTAATATATCATTATATCATTGTTGAATGTTGACTTGTTGGATAATTTCATGCCTGAGACTTTTTGGATTTGTGTTACAGTACTATATCCTTGTTGACTTGTTGGATAATTAAGAGGCCTGAGGTCTATATTTAGTGGTCTATATGCTTATTTAAAAGTGCTAGCTCATTGGCCTCTGACCTTTTTAAAAGCCTTAATGCAGAGTAAATCTTTAAATAAGCTTTTAGGTCAAGCCAAGCCTAAACAAAAATGGCTTTATCAAGTAATAGTTCAGGCCCAAGCCGTGTGTTTGAGAAATAGACCAGACTTGTTCAAGGTGAAGACTAGCTTAGTCCAGTGTTTCCGTGCCTACTTAATGGGACTATATGGATCTTTATGTGAAATCACACAAATATCAAAGAGCTTGTGAATGAAGACTATCCTTTGAAATTCAATTCGTTTCGGTTACCTTTATTTCTCTTAAAATCAGACAAAATGAAGAAGTGATTTATAGGCTTGCCTCAATACATACTTTTACATTGATTGATAAATGAGTAGCTCAAAAGTCATGCCTTGAAGACATGCTTCTACATTTATAAAAGAAACTTCAAATTGGAACTAGAGGGGAAGTAAGCTTCCTAGGAAAATGCAGCATGAACATGATAGATATAAGTATTAATAGGGCACACAAAAGTAAAAAATCAAATTGTTTGAAGATGTAAAGAATCCTTGGACATGGCTGAAAGAGTCTAATTTATCGCCTTTGGAAGTTGAAGATCTTGATTGAGACAGCAAAAATAAATGCAAACAGCACTCCGGTCCCAAAAACCACAACTGCACAAACTCCTATGAAGTCATGCTTGAAGTCAAAATAATTTCTTATGAACTCTTGCACTGACATATTTTCTGATTCCATCATGTTGGTTATATCTCCATATTGTGATGTAACCAACCCATATATGGTCCAGGCCAGAGGACATGCCCAATAGTACCACCTCCACCATACAGGAATTCTCTGTTGTCAGAACGGTGAGAAAATGGAAAATAACAGTAAGCATCAACATAAATACATCTGTTGTATCCATGCATAGATATTATTCAATGCATTCAAAGGTTGGCAACACTTACAGGTCGAGGGACGACAAATCCTGAAAAGAGGTTCCAAATGGCATAAAATGCAGCAGCCACAATTGCAGCAACATGGTGATTTGGGGTAACTGCCACAGCCATCATGCCAAAGAAGGTGTAGTAGCACAATGTGAAGTACATGAAAAACATATACCAAAAGAATTTTCCTGCAGTCCACTCAAATCCAATCATGGCATAAACTATGACACCATATGTTGCAGATTGGGCAAAAACATAAGGTAGCTCTATTATAACCTGTGACAAAAGGGAATGAGTAGTGTTAACATGGATATATATGTCAACTCGTACAATTGCTTTTTGTACGATGGTGATTTTATTACCTGTGCAAGTGCATAGGGTAAGGCAGAATACATTCCCGCAGATCTTTCTCTATAAAAGACAGTTCTTTCAACTGCTACCACTGGTTGTACAGAAGCAGCATTCTGGACCCCAAGGAAGATAACAGCATTATACATTGAACCGATGGAATTAAACAGGTCTTGTCTGTTTGAGCTGGAAGTCACCAAAAGGAATTAAATTCAAGTGGAACAACAAAATTTACTAACTTTGATATGTCTTACTTCTAAATTACTAAGGTTTGACTTACTGTTTGCTTCCGAGGTCCCAGAACATTGTTCCTAAAAGCAAGGCTATGATAGTAGTGGAGAAAAACCTCACAGCAGTGTATGGCGGATTGCGCCAATATGACCAATGTTGTTTCCATAAGCAAGCCAGGCATTGGACCCAAAGTGACTGGGAGTATTTAGTTGGGAAATGAAGATCCTTTGAACCAGGAGCTGGGTTACTCAGTTCTGCTATAAGTTGCTTGTTTCTCCTGAAGAACAATGTATAACAATCTAAGACTTTTATGAATATGATCATAGGTATTATAGTTAATAAATTCGTAATCTAACATATTAACTTACCTATATAGCTCAGAGTTCTTGTATATCTCATGAAAATCAACACCTAAAGTAAGTTCTTGAGCTGAAGTTGTAACTTCCAACATCCAAGTTGCTGGGTTATACCCATCTTTGATTTTACTAGCCCCATCAATGCTCTGGACAAAAGAAAATATTAGAAAAGAAGTGATTACCAAGAAGAATTATGGCTATCCACTGTAATAATATTGAATTTACGTTGTACCCAACCTCAAAATACTTGATCAATTGATTAGAATGACGACCCAATGGCCCAACATATATTTCCTTCCCTCCGCGCTTCATCAAGAATAACTAGAATCTCATGTAATATGTATCAGATTCAAGTCCAACAAAGGAAGAACTATAGAACACATCATTTTATCATAGCATCTCTCACCTCATCAAAAGCTTCAAATATGTCAATGCTCGGCTGATGGATAGTGCAAACAACTGTTCTTCCCGTGTCAACAGTGTTTCTGACAGTTCTCATAACAATTGCTGCAGCTCTTGCATCTAATCCAGAAGTTGGTTCGTCCATAAAAATTATGGATGGATTAGCCACTAATTCAACTGCAATAGTTAGCCTCTTGCGTTGTTCAGTTGAAAGACCATTTACACTTGGCAAACCAACCAGTGAGTTCCTCAATGGTTTCAGTTCCACGAGTTCCATGACTTCCTCAATGAACATCTACAACAATTTGTTAGATCCAAAAGTAAGAACAGTCAGTCTACAAGTTCAAAAAATTAGTTGTCTCTATTAATAAACAACTTAAACTTTGAAAATATTTTGGACCTTACTAAAGTAAAAAGAAAAACCATAAGGTGTCTTGAGCTGCAAGTAACTAACCTTCCTAGTATTGGAATCAACTTCTGCTGGTAAACGAAGCCATGCTGAGTAAAGCAAGGACTCGTGGACAGTTACATGAGGAGAATGGATATCATTCTGCTCACAGTAACCAGAGATCCGAGCAAATGTTTCTTGCTTTTTCGGATAGCCAGAAACTTTTATGCTTCCATCTATATACCCACCAGTTTTCCTACCAGCTAAAACATCCATCAAAGTAGTTTTGCCAGCTCCACTTACACCCATCAAGGCTGTAAGAACACCAGGCCTAAATGCACCACTAACGCCCTTCAAAAGCACTAACCTGTCCTCCATTACACCTTGATCCTTCATTTCCTGTGAGTTGAAATTCCAAGAGTTAGGGTTCAAATTGTTTTGGACTAAAGCTAAGTTGAACTAAAAACACTATTAGAAACCCAAATGTTAATTATAACTTCGGAAGTGACTTACCTGTGGCATGTCAACCGAGTATGAAATTTGATCAAAGGTGATACAATATGGTTCAAAAGGAAGAACCATTCCTCTTCTCTCTCTGTTGTTGGAAACCACAATAGCATTAGCTCTTCCATATCTTTCTGCATGACAGTTGAAAAAAAATTCAGCTTCTAATCTAATCACGTATTAGGAATCACTAACTAACTAACTCACACTTGAAAAGAGTATGCATGCACTGAGTGTTCATAAGAGATATAAATAAGATGGATCACCTAGTTGCGGTAATTCAACTTCTCTGTCTCTTTCATTATGCGTATTGCCTTCTAATTCTTCAGTTATTGTTGCATGTGGCTTCTCAAATGCTGCAAAAATCATGTACATTTGCTAATAAAGTTTTGCATCACCACAAGAATCTTAAATAACCAAATGTGTGAAGATACTCACGATTGAGGTAAGTGAGAGCCACAGTGTATATAATGTTGAAAAGGAACATAAATCCAATCAATGCTCCAATCCCTATCCAATACCAATATGCATCTGTGAAGAACCCACGAGACTCCAAAACTTGAATTCCCAGTGTCATATTTGAATATGGGGTAAACTGTAATTGAAGAGCAAATGAGTTAGGTATACACATTTCTGAACTGAAAGTAAATTAAAGTTGCAAGTTTAAGAAAGTACATGGTTCCAACTATTTCCAAGGAATTCATTCACCATTATAGCATTTTGCCCATACATTAAAGGCGAAATCCAGTAACCCCAAATCCACCATCTCTTGATATCCTCTGTTTCATTGCCAATGAAATGATAGAAGCATTAATATCAAATTCTATTATGTGATAAATGCAACAAATTTGTTACATCTGCTACTTGCACTCACTTCTTGACAGAACGAAGCCGCCCAATGCAAAAAGTATGAGAAGTGCAAAGGACGCAATTGTGTTAGCCACAGTCATGTTCTTTCCCAATGCTGCAATAGCTCGAAACAATCCAGAAGCCATTTGGTTTATCAATACTAGCACAAGGTACTGCTTTAACAATCTGCATAAAAAACGAGACTTAACACCATAAATAACACTACAAGCAGACAAGCAGAACTAGTGTTCATTTGTTGCAAACATATAAAAAAAGCTTCTTTACCTGCCAACATTTGGATCAAATCCAATCACGTAATAGGTGAGAAATACCCAAACAGCAGCTTCTACAAATGTAATAGGGATCTTGAGGATCCATGAGGGAATGGCATATGCCCATGAAGGATAAAATAGAAGGTCTCGTTGCTTGTAGAAAACAGGAAGCTTTACAATGGTCATTGAAAGCTCAGCCATTCCATTAAACATGAGCATTATTACTGAGAAAAATAGAGCACCAGCATATACACCTCCATCATTCAAGGAATCCCGGTGCATCTCAGTTCGTAGAAAGAGTGTCATTGAAAATATTGCCATTGTAGCAAGCTAAAAAGCATTGAGAGAAAAATCAAAAGTCAAAACCATGTATGCCAAACAATTATTAATATTTATTTATATAAAGCAGCTGGAAACCCACTTGGCATAGCTTGAAGATGTAAACGAATGAATTTCTTTTCATAAGCAAATACTCTCTTGAGAAGTTAGCCTTTAATAGCTCCTTCTTGTTAACACCATACTTTTTAGTGGTTAATGCAGCTGGGTGGTTCTTAGACTTGTCAAACGGAATCGCAAGCTCATCTCCAATTCCCCTTCCAATGTGGAATGATTGAAATGCCTCGGCAAATTGAGTTACAGTTACAAACCTGTATGGTTCATCTCTGTGCACCCAATACTGTTCTTGATCCTTTCTTGAAGTTACCTGTAGGAAGAGTAAGATTGTATCATATATTTACATAACCTGCATAAAAAATATCAAATGAGGGAAACATGAGATAAACTTTGGCTTACTTCTTGAAGGAAGTCAGCAACACCTTTCCTCTCAGGACACTTAAAACCCATAGATTCGAAAAAGTCGAGAACATATTCACGGGGTCCTTGGTAGACAATTTCACCATCAGAGACAAGAATAATGTCATCAAAAAGCTCATAAGTCTCCGGTGCTGGCTGGAGCAGAGAGATAATTGTGGTTCCATTAAAAATGTGAACATATTGCCGAAGAGTGTTCACAATTTGAAAAGTTGTGGAACTGTCCAAGCCAGTGGATATTTCATCCATGAACAGGGCATTTTCTGGTCTAACCAGCATTTCCCCTGTAGTAACTCGCTTCCTTTGTCCTCCCGAGATACCACGCAGCATTTCATTCCCAACCATAGTATCAGCACATATATCCAACCCCAAAATCTGCAAAATTTTAAAGTAAATAACTTATGACTTCACTTCATAGACAATTTTAGGAAACTTTAAAGCATGAGAGAACCTTATTCTATTATTACCTTCAGTACATAATCTGTTACCAGGCTTGCTTCCTGGCCTTCAGTTGCAGTTGCCTGGTACATAAAATGCAAAGACATTATATCCTAAGCTAAAGAAATAGCTTGTTTTATTGCAATAAAGATCGATAATAGCTTCTTTCCCACCTTCATGAAGACATCAATATCTGGGTCCGGCTTAATATTAGCTTCTTTTTCTCTTCTAGACAATTCAGATAACATGTCTGAGGATCAAAATAAATATTAAATTGTTATACTAATATTACACCTCAAATATGATATGAAACAATTACTATGATGACCACTAAATACGTGGATCAATTGGTAAGAGGTTGTTCTAGCTTAATCAGTGATCTCGAGTTCGAGTTAATGAGAAAGCAGCTATGTTAAAACTTGGTAAGGAGAGTTTTTTTCTCTCATATAGTTCTACTCAGCTCGAATCAGACTAGTCAAGTAATCGATGAACCAATGGATAATATCCACACACACAAAAATTACTATGATGAAAAAAAGGAAAGGATTGGTATAGAAAATGGCTAACCATAACGTGATCCAACTCCTTGGCACCTTGCTGAGAAAGCCAAGGTTTCCCTTACGGTCATTTCTCCAATATGAACATCATGCTGGCTAATATATGCAGCAGTTCTCTGAGGTACAAACTCGTCCATTCCATGCCCATTATAAGTCACTTTCCCAGACACCTTGAGGACACAAGGGCATCCAAATTGGATGAAAACTATTACTTTCTAATAGACAACGAATGAAAACAATAAGAAGTTGTAAAATTAAGAGGAATGGTTTCTCACCTTCAGATTTGGATCTAGCTTTCCTGACAAGGCCAAAAGGAGTGTGGTCTTTCCGGAACTTGGAGGACCAAGTAATAGTGTCATCCTGCGAGGTTTGATGATTCCACTAACATTTTTTAGGATAGTCACATGTTTCTTTTTTCCTGAGAGAATATGGAGAGAAGCAAAGAATTTCTACGAGAGCAAAGAGAAAAAGACTATTAGAGAATGAGACTAATTGTAGAACAAAGAAACACAACAACAAAACTAACTGAGAAACACAAATTTTAATGAGCTAGAATCTGCCCAAATTTACCTCCACCATATTAGTAGCAAAATTCAGGAAAGTGGGCAAAGCTCTGCTTCCCACATAAACCTCTGCCTCAACATTTAGGTGTTGAAATCTAACTTCTATTGTTGGAATATCAATCCCAACTCTGACAGAATTTGAAAAACAAACGTGGCAAAGAGAGAGAGCTTATTACATTATGAGATTATTAACTTGTAAAAGAAGAATATTAAAAAAATAAAAATAAAAAACTTTGAAGAATCAAAGAGCATAGAAGTAAGAGCAATGCATCCTTATTCCTTACCTATCAATTCGTTGCTTGAGCTTCAACAAAAACTTTTCATTGTCTTCTTCAACGACATTGATCAACCTATCTAGCAGCTTCTGTCTTTCTTGAAACCCAAGTTCAGTTATATCAATCTCATTGGAGACTCCACGAGATGTGGTCAACAACCCTTTCCTCAAACGATTGTAAGTAGGAAGTTTTTCAAGTGCAGCCCATTTCAGAGCTTCCTCATCGTCTTCTTCATGCCGCGAGGACCTGGAGAAAACATCCATGTTACTGTTTCTCCTAGAACTGCTTCCTCGTAGACTATTACTTGCTTTGTATATATCACTTCCCTCCATTACTGCCACCCAAGTCAACAATTATCAAAGCCAACAACTTTTGCAACTTTAGCTCAAACCCACCAAAACCCAGAAGCCTTTTTCTTCTTCAAAGCTAATGCAGTTACAAACTGCTATGGTGGAAACAAGAGAAAAATGCTATTTGCAACAACTGCAAAAACCCGGAATATGTAACATTACTTTTCTTCTAAGAAATATACAACAAAGAGAAAGAGCTAAAAATGAGAACCCTGAAGAGGATGAAAAGGAAAAAAAAAAAACAAAAACAAAGATCAAGTGGTTCTTTCAGATGTATATTCAGCTTTCTTTACAATGAAAATGGAATGGGAAAACATGCTTATTTATTATACCTTATTAGTTGATACACAAACTGGTGATACTGAGTAGAGTACCGAGTGATGTCTCTAATGTGCATTTTTCTTTTCTTTGGTTACTTTGCTCTCACATGTAACGTACGCAAAGTCAAAATTTGTTCGGTAATGAGGTTACGTGCATTGCTGGCAAAAATTAGTGTAAAAACATAAAATTTTATGTTTTCATGTTTTTATTGAAGTGATACATGTTAAAATACAAGTAAAAATTAGTAAAAATTTCGCGTAAAAATAATATAAACACAAATTTTTACGTTTTTACTTACACAAAAAAGTGAATGGGGTCAACTTTTAACCCATGACCTGATCGTATTTTTATTTTTAAAAAAAATAAAATAAAAAAATCCGATTTCCATTTTCCCAAAATCAAATGCACAATATTTTTTTCTAGTTATATGAAGAAAAAACAACCCTCGTGCAAGGTCGCTGTATTTTTATTTAGGAGTTGTTAAACTTTATTTTTTTGATGTTTTGAAACTTGGTTATAGGAGTTGGTTCTTTTTGTGTTTTTGAATTTATGTCTTATATAGTTATGTGACTTAATTATATCTGTTAAATATGAAGTTATTCATTGAATTTTGAGTAGTGACTTATATGCTATTCTTTTTTACATGCATATATATATATATATATATATATATATATATATATATATATATATATATATATATATATATATATATAATTGTATCTTGATCTTAAATAATAGAAATTTTACGTTTCGTGTCATTTCTATTATTTATAATATTATATATATAATTGTATATTGACCTTAAAGAATAGAAACTTTACATTTCGTGTCATTTTTACGATTTATATTTTTATCATTTTCTTCTACATAAAAACTCGATTTTGACAAGATTGATTATGTGGAAAACAAAATGTGATTGAGAACAATTTGTCAAACACATTGTGACAGTAGGTACCGATTTATACGGTAATATTAATGTTGTTACCTTCATTCTATTGACAGTGTTTCTTCTTCATTTAAATGGATCAGCATGGCATGGCACCAAACTTTGTTTATGATGCTGAAACTGAAGATTGGATGTCCGTTGAGAGTTGAAAGTTGAATACTTCTCCTGTCAACCTCATTAAGAGAGTGGTTTTCAACCAAATTACCCCAGACCTTTTCTTTTTTCTTTTTTCTTTCAATTCTTACGTAAATGGAAACTTTATAAAAATTTGTTAGTTATATTGTATCCACTTTAAATATATACTTTTATTTTTTTATTTTTAGAAGAATTGTAAATGCAAACTTTTATACATTACTTATATATAAGTTAAGGGTAAAGGATCTTTCCAGTCAATGAAAATAAGTTATCTCCGGTGAGTTAAAAATGATGTCGTTTTGAGGCGGAAATCATAGTATTTTTGTAATTATAATATATTGCAGGGTTATATTAGTCTTTATTATTATAATTTTTTAATCTTATAACTCAAAACGACGTCGTTTTGAGTTCACTGGAGATAACTTTATCTCCAATGACGGGAGAAACACTTTTTCCATAAGTTAATTATAATATATTTTTAGTCCTAGTTCACGAGATTTGTTATCAATTTAGTCTTTATATAATGTTTAAAATTTGGTACGTGTTTCTAAGTGTCTCTCCCTTAATAAGTTTTTCCCTTTAAGCAACCAAAGGAAAGCGCGAATCCTTTGAGAACCTATCCAGCTACACACGTTTCTCCAATTGATTGGATTGATGTTCTGGTCTCTCCCATTGGTTTATTAAACAAAAAAATTCAACATTTTGCTTTATGAGAGAGATCTTAAAATATTTTTCCTAAAGTTGCCGTCAGTACAAAATAGAAATCTTTTAAACGTGATATTTTGGAATTCTTATAATTTTAAAAACATCAAATATATCGTTAAAAATGATTAACTTGATTATTAGTTTGATGATATTGTTAAAAACATAAATTTCTCTTGACTTTTCAATTTTGGTAACTTTTGAAAATAAAACAATAACAGGAATGTTGATTAATCACTCAAATAAAAATATAAATTATAACACAAAATTCATAATGTTAACTAAAAATTTTAATGTAACACCCTGTGTGTATCCGGTGTATTAATTCATTATAGTATTGAGCGTAGTGAAATAACCATATACTATTGTACAAAATACCTATATCTAGTTATCCAAAAGCTTAGCATATAATATCCATCCATGGAATTTTTATTGTAACCAGATATCTAGGACCATTCTAGCCATTGTTATTATAATAATTAAAAAAAGTTTTAATTTTAGTTAAAAAAATAAAAGGAAAATATTATGAATGTGGGGTTATAAGATAAATACCTTGTCCTTCTTTTTGGAGTAAAAGAGGAACGTTGCAAGGTAAATTGTCTCTATAACAATTCCAAACGTGTTAATGGTG